ATCAAGTTTTAAATTTTTACATAGAGTTTCATTACAAAAAATTAATATCTAGGAATATCTTAGATTTTCAGTGGAAAGATGAATGTATTGATTTTACAATGCATATGTGTGTTTTTGTTTGGATGTGTCATCTTCTGAGGCAGTAAAAATACTTTGATTTTTGCAGATGGTTATTCTGGCAGCAAATTGGATCCAGTTTTACATTGAGTATTTAAAGTAAAAATATTTTCAGTACTTTTTTCAATAATTGGAGAAAACAAAAAAAATAAAATTTAAGTAAGTAAGTATTACTCTGCTGCTGTATAATGGATGTCGAGTGAGTGTATTAAATTTTAATTCAGAGATATATTATTGTGAACAAAAAATGGTTCTGAGGGGTGCTATATGACTGCGAATGGAACGATTGCGAACAGACCTTTTCACGATTGCGAACGTTTTTACATGGTGTTAGTCATTAACAAATTTTTAAAATAATTAAATAGTAGGTATAACGGCTTTCTGCTATTACACTATCAAAACAATTTACATAACTCTATGGCTAAAACAGATAAATCTAAAATTGAATTAACATTAAAATATTATAGTGATTCTAATTTATAAAATCCACAAGGATATAATTTTATATTTACAAAAAATTGGAAATTCCTAAATAAGAAAAAAGTGTAGAAATTTTTTTTAAAAACTATGATTTTTTCAGTTTATAGTTTATACATTATGTAGCAATATTATTATTATTATTATTTAAACTCCTAAATTATTTTAATTAATCAACATTTTAAACAGTTCGTATTATTTTAGTTTGTAACGTAGTTATTATGTAACATTGTATTATTTATATTGAATAGTTATTATTTACAAAAAAAAAAAAAAAAATTAATTGAATTCCCGAACAAAATAAAACATATTCAGAAATTATAAAATTGGCAACGTAGCCTATAAAAAACATTCGCAATCGTTCGTTTTCTGCTAAAAAAACAAATTTTTTGATAAGCGACATTCGTTCGCAATCGTATTGTACCCTGCAGTTCTTAGCGGAAATGGCCTGTAAGCCTTTTAAAGTAAATTTATTGATGTAATTTTTAATATAGCTATTAAAGTAGTTTATTTTACTTAAAGTATTACGATAGGTTGATTTGATTTATTTTTTCAAAATGTTGCATTTTATTAAATGATAACTATTTAATTATTATAATAGTATAGTATGATGTACTATAATAAATTTTATAGTTTTTATTAAACATTAATAATTTTATTGACTACTTTTAACTCAATAAGATCTTACATAAAATAGTGAGAAAAAATTTGTGATATAAATGTATAACATCTTAAAATTTATCTACATAATAATTTTAAAATGTAATTGCATAAAGAAAAAATTATAATAAATGTAATGGTTATAAGTATCCACTAATGATGTTTTTGAATTATATCAATATAACTGCAATTATAATTTATGTTTGTTTCAGTATAGTTAGTACAGTTTTTTTCACGATAAAGTGATTTCGATTGACTCAAAGAATACAATTAATTTGATTATATAAACAAAGTAAATGGTAAAATATCTGTCGATAAGCTTAAGAATTTTTGGACAAACCTCGGATCTGACTACTTTCCAACGTGAACAAATTAGACTTCTACGCCACGAACTTCAATAAAAGAGAGATTTGATAAAAAAAAAAATTGGATTATCAAATATTTTCATAGAGTACCGCTACTTAAAAAAAAAAAAAACTAATTTAGCTCAGATCAAGTATTGTAATATTAGTAATAATTTTGAAAATCATTTTAAAAAGCATTTATTTAATATATTTAAAATTGTTCTAGGAAAATGTATTTTATTATAAAAAACAAATTTAATCAAATTTAATATTTAGCTGCTTTACTTGTATTCAACTATTTGAAGATAAGAATGCCATGAAGCTTATAGCTTATTTAATTAAACTGAAACAGTTACTAATCGCAGCTGTACAAATATGCCAGTAATTGTTAATACAAACATTTTCAATCTTATAAACCTTATGTAATAGACAAAAAAAGCTTTATACGAGTAGTTAATAGTATTTTATAGTACGTTTTTGTGTAAAGTGTTGATTATACAATTTTATAATATATTAATATTTATTTTTATATAATATTACTTCGATCAAATAAAAAATTTATGCAAAAGAATAATCAAAATTACAGAAAATCGTTTACAAAGAACTATACAATATGACAATAGAAAATGTAAATCATAAAATATAAATCTGCTTAATTTTTTGAATAGGTACATTAAATGTGTATATTTGGTTCTATTCATCTACAACAAGGTAATGTAATACAACAAATTTAATATTATTGTGAACTATTCAAACTATTCATTTATTGACAAAACTTAGCATATGTTATAATTCATTGGAAAATTCCAATTACTTTATAAATCAGAAATTTTCAACATGTAGGTAATATACAATCAATAATGAACTTAAAAAGTAGACTAACAGAGAATTTAAATAGGATCTAGAATCAAGTAAAACTAATCGTAAGTATTTTTAGCTATTCTTAACATTAGTTCAACAGCGACTAGGCAGTTGCATGGATTTTAGGGATAATATTCTATTCTACCTTCACAATGTTGGTAAATAGCTGGTCAGTCAAAGTGTGTGAGTTATATCATAAGCCACTTTTTGAGAAGGTGAGAGCTTAAGTCAAAGCATCCAGTTGCTGTCAGATTGGTGAACCCTTTTCTATTTGAGCCGTCTTTATACACCCATTAATGTGATACATTTGACACGTATTACGTATTGTACAGCAGAGCAGTACCAACTTATATACTTTTTTTTAAATAAATTTTACGCCTTAAATTTAATATTTACTTTGTGATGTTCTCTGCAAATAATATGGAACCACATACGTTAAAACATCTGATGATGTAGTTATTTGTTTGACTCTTGAAACAGTGTATTAATTTGAATACAAAAATATATTGCTAGTTTTTAGCGTGACTGAAATTTTTAATCATAATGTTTCTCTGTAAATTTATAACCGAATTATCGAAGAAAAATAACCAAACTTGAAATGTTTTGCTTTGTTGACGTACATATAACGGTACCTACAATCAATTTCTTAATCATAGTACTAGCATTGGATCTTAAGTTTTTGTTTTTTTTCTATCAGTGATGTAATTTGGGGCGGGGGATTGATATGGGTAATATTATATCACTCCCTATATAGTATATATATATATATAATATATTTACATATTGTGTTAACAGCAGTTAAGACAATTAAAAGATTATTATAATCATACAAAATTAAATATAATGTATGAATTATTATAAATTATGAAGTATAAATGTTTGTATATTTTCTTCCTTATAAATTGTGAAAATTTCTGTGAAATATCCATATTATTCCCAAAAAAAATAGTCATAACTACGTTACTGTTAGGGGTAACCAAACTTAAAATCAACAGGTAACATCTTGAGTTATATGTTTAAGTAAAAACGATATAAACCAACATAAAATTGTTGTTTTAAACATATTTCATAATGAATGGTTATGCCGCGATGTGCTCTCATATTTAAAGATAATATTTTTTGAATTGAAATAATATTTGTAAATTAAGCTATGTAAAAACTGATATGATGTAATAAATATTACGTACAAATACGAAAAAAAAGTTTTTTAAAGTTTTATTTTCGGTGGCGTAGAATTGAAAACGTAATACAAAATTTAAAATAAAACTGTTAAGAAACACAAAAATTAAATATTTTATAGATAATTTGAATTAAATATTACATATATTCATATAAATATTTATATGTATAACTTTTAATTTAACATTGGAATACTCACATTAAACTTAATATACTAACATTTTTTATCCATGTAATTACAGTCGAATTTGCTTATAACGATGCCGTTTACCTCGATATTGTTGGTTGGTTTTATATCTTATGTGTTGTTACATTTTATAATCTGGATATAACGAAGTTCGGTTATAATGATCAGATTCTCTTGGTCCCTTGAAGATCGTAATAAGCGAATTTGACTGTATTATAATACTATTTTATTATACGTTTCATATGTTTATTGTACTACAACGTGATGAATACATTATTAAACATTGATGAAGCACATATAAGAACAATAAAAATATACTTGAGAGAATAAAATTGTATAATTTTAAATTTTCGAAAAAAAAAAATTGGACCGATTGTGATTACAAAATCAAATTATTTCTTACTTATGCGGTTTAATTAGAAATTAATTATTAATACTGAATTTATTTTTATTTTTTAGTAAAAAAATAATGCTTTTATAAATTTATTAATTTTAAAATTTAATATGAATTTTGTATATACGATTAAAAAAAACCTGAAAATTGTATTACCTATATCAACATATTCAATTTTATGAACCTAATAAATCAAAAATTTAAAAACTTCTTATGTAATAGTAAATTTGAACTAAATTTTACATTACTATGTTAACATATTGAGAATAAAATTATACTATATAATAATATTTTTGTTTATTACGTTAATTACATTTTCAGTTTAATTTCGATAAAATTAGAATTCGATAAAAATATAAATAAAAATTTACATTATATGGCAATACAAGATGGTTTATCAAATAACACTGAAATATTGAACTTTGAATGTATGGATATTTAATACTATTTTCAAAACTTAAGGTAAATGAGTACATAAAATTAAATATATTTTATATTTTTATGATATGTTTTTTCATAAAATAATTAATATATTTATCATTTAAATACGTGATTTTGTCTAACTTCAAATATCAATAAAAAATAATTCTGAATGTATAATTTGTTTGAAATTTCTTAGTTCCAGTATAAATTAGTACCTTCTTAAAATAAATATCATAATACATTCACATATTCAATCTTTAGCTATAAATATTGAAAAATTTATAAATTTTTTACTACAAAATACTTGTAGCTTATAAATAATTTGTGATTTTAATAATTTTATTTTTTTTAAATGTAAGCTTTAAATAGATACAAAAGAATTGTGGTAATGTATTTTAATTATACTTTTATAGATTTAAAAATAATTTATGTAGATCTATAATGGAATTTTCAAGAACTCATTATCTAAAAAAATAAAGAAGTTTAAAAACTCGAAAACTTCTTATGCCTATAAATAGTTCAAAAAAAGTCAAAATATTTAAAAAATAGTATAATTACTATTTTTAGGAAATACTAACATATATATTTTATGAAAATTTTGTTTATTCATGGTAAATATTTAATGCATTAAAAAAAAAAAAAAAAATTGTTTGAGAAAAAATAATTGTTTTACGGAGAATATGTAAAACTTCAAACGGTCATAAATGTAACTTTTCAGTTAATATTTTTATTCATTTTTTTTTTTTCGGTTATTTATAGCAAAACTAACGAAAAATCTTACGTTACATTTTAAAATTTAAGATATTTAGAGAAAAATCTGTATACATTTTTATTCATATGATAATTTGTAAATTTTTTAGAGCCTGATGAATATTTTCATGAGTATAATTTTAAATGCACACTAAAGAATATTGTGAAAATACGCTTTCAATATTTTTTAACCAGTAAGTGAATAAATTGTCTATGCCTATAAATAACTCAGAGAAAGTTGACATTTTTTGAAAATTATACCATGTATGAAAATGCTATTATAAATATTCTGTGAATATTTCATATTTCTACGTTTTTTTTGTTTTTTAGTAATAAACAATAAATTAATTGATTTTGTCAAAATTAGTTTTTTCTAAAAATTATTGTATTTCTTTAAGTTTTTTTTTCATTATTCTCGATTATTTAAAAAAAATATTTTAATTACAAGTCTTGTAAGAAAATTAGTTTTGTGATTAACATTAAACAACGTACTTTTTATTATTTAGCGTCTTCACTTGTACTCGTAAGTAAATGATTTGACAATACTAAGGTGCTATTATCGAAATTTTTATTTAATTAAATGAACAAAGTGGTTACAGCTATACAAACAATGTTGAAAAATGAAAATGTAATAAAAACAATATCGAAAGTTATAAAACAAAACTAAAAAAATGGGAAAATTAAATACATAATTTAATGCAAATATTAATGTTAAAATGTTTAGTATAAAACAATATAAAATATTTATATTTTTGTGTATTACGTCGATCCAGTTCAACATTATTGCAACTGAATTATCAGAGTTACAAGAAAATATAATTCAAGAATTAAAATGTACGCCATTAGATGGTTTGTCAAATAAAATAACACTATACGATGTTGAACATATTATATATTATGCATATTTACCTTCAACTACAGACCACGAGGTAACTAAATACATGAAATTAAATATGTTTTATATATTTATAAGCTGTTCATTTGCTGAATGGACTCAATATAAGTTATTCAAATTCATCAACAGATTCCCATTACTTTATCAACCAAAATTTTTGAATAAATATAATGATGTATTTAATAAGAATTATGAGAGTTTATTAGAGAATTTAAGTGAAATCAAGACTTATGTTAGACGCTTTATAGATATTTTACTACATAACTTTTTAGATCTTGCCAATTCGAAAAATTATGATACGTTGTTTATAAAAACATTATTATTACTAAAATTTAAAATGCACTTTTTAACGCTGCCTTTAAATAACAATACGGAATCAATAAAAGAGAAAACACCTGATGTTGTAGTCATTCGTTCGATTCTTGGAATATTGAACTTAATTCAAAACTTCATGGCTACAAATTGTTATGTCCATACACCTAATGAAACATATTACGATAATTTTATTAAATCTAAATTTTTTTTTGGTTTCTGGATAACTAAATCGGCTGAAACAAATGATTTAATTAACAAACTTTTTGAATGTATTAATAGACTGAATTTAGCAAGCCATAATAGTTGTTGTACACAAAAAATGTTGTTAACATACATAGTGACTGATACTTCAAGTACTGTTTCACGAGAGATTTCTAACGCAAGAGTTAACACAACATTTGGAACAATTTCAATTTATCAGATTTTACAACAAATTGAAAAACATGAAAGTGACCTTGAATTAATATTATGGTATCAGGAATCAATTTTGAATGTAATTGTAAAATTAATATATTTTAAAGTAATTATGGTTTTAAAGACAGACTCTAAATGGATGATAGAACATTTTAATTTGATACCAACATTTATAGATTTGCCAGACGATTTTATTGATTTATTTACAATCCAAGAACATTCAAATAGAGAAATTAATACACTGATTTATAAAATTGCTGAATTCCATAACTCGATTACCGATATAATTTTAGAAACCAATATTCCAACTGAAGTTAAAAATGATTTTAATGAATTTACAACATACATAAATTTAAGAAGTGAAGATTTTTTCTGTTATTTTTCGGTTTTAAAGTTATTACGTAAAGAATTTGCTAAATATTATATACCATTCATAAGAAATCCGACAAAAGTCGAAAACATTGTGAAGAACAAGGATGTATCAATCAGTGAAATCGTCCGATCCGATGTGAATGATAGACTGTCGAATAGTATATGCCAATATGTTAGAGATTTGTATAGTGTTTGTCTCGATTTAACTACAACTATGAATATGATTGACGGAAAAAATATAAATGACAGAAACGAATTTTTGTCAAGAGCAAGTACTATTTTAAAAATGATTAGAAAACGGTCTATCGATGTAATACAATGGTGTACGTACAAAGAATGTAGTGACCTTTTAAAAGTTTCATACGATTTATACGTTGTATTAAATTCAAAGCACCATAATTATTTTGAATTCAATCAAATACCAATGATTACCACGGTTATGTCTATTTTAAATGCATATAGTATTGATAACTGCAATCCACCAAATTTCAATTTTTTATTATTAAACAGTACAAATTTTGAGGATATAGGTAATAACGATATACTTATAAATCATTTCAATTCATTTCTGATGAGTTTTGAAACCAACCCAAACACACGGATGATTTCGAATCACATAATGGTATTAGATATTGATAAATTTTATGAAAATTATTTTTTAAACGCAAAATTTTCTTCAGAAGATATACAGACAGTAAGTTTTTTTTGGAAAGGAGAGATGAAAAACATTAAAGAAGTTTACATGAACATAAATGCAATAATTATACACCCATCGCACGTATACGCCTTTTATGATTTATATTTCAAATTTGTTATTGGTATGGCATATTCAAAGATGTGGGTTATTATTCATTACTTAACCATACAGGTAAATCCCAAATTTAGTTTATTTAATTCTAATGAATGCACTAAGTTCCTCAATATATGTCAGACGTTACTTGATAATTCAAATTTTCCGCAAAGTTTATCACTATTAGTAGCTAAAGTTAGTCAATTTTCATCATTGATATGTGAAATGTGTTTAAAAAAAGAAGAAATTCACAAAGAGTATAAAATAATTTTTAAAAAAAACGATCCAGTCGAATTAACGAAAGTAGCACCACAGGATAATGAACCAAATACGAGTAGTAGCGATACCTCAACAAGTTTTTTTAATCAAGTACAAGCTACGCACTTAGAGCTAGAAAAGCTTTTTAAGATGTCTGGAATGTTCATACGAAATAAAATAAAAACAGTTTCGTTAGAATTCATATTGCAATATTTATCAATTAAACCTAAAGTCCTATTTGTTGAAAAAGTTTTTAATAACATGGCTGGTGATTTCTATAGTTTAGTCGTTTCAGTTAATAATATGTTAAAAGACATTATAATAAATATGTAATTGAATATTTTAACTGTTATATTTAGATGGATATAATATGAAAGAAAAAAATTTAAAACTAATTTTTATAAAAATATTTTTTCGTTTGTGAATACAATTATTTAAATTTTTTTATTTACACTGTCAAATATAAATGTACCTAAATATATACATATTATATTAATTTAACCATAGTAATATCATTACAAACAATGTTTGAGGATCTAAAATGATAAATAAAGATAAAAATCAAAATTGTAACTAATATTTATTATATGTTCCATCTTTTATTGTTTTTATAATTGTCAATGGATCGTATAGTTTTATTTGTTTATTGTAAATTTACCAAAAATATTAATTTGTATACTGAATAGAATAATATTAATATAAACTATATTATATTTAAACGAGTAGATTAGTTAGTATAATAAAAATTTCACAGAATGTGTATCTTAGCATTACTAAGAGACAATTATTTTATTAGTAAATACTTTTTTATTTTATAAATAGTTACATATATTATATGTATACAATATTCATGTAATTTTAACATACGTATAACAATATTATTTTATTATATTAAGTATTTTAAAATCCAACCTTTAATGGTATAGGTACATAACTGTGCTATAGTTAATCATTATGTAAAATTAATATTTTTAGCAAATAAAAAAAAATATTATTTAGAGTATAATATTTCTAATATATAACTACTATAGTAAATAAACTATTTAACTACTAATGAAACATTTTAAGTAATTTTTATAATTTTAGAAAAATAACGTAACTATTAAAAACAATTTATATAGGTATATTTCTTGTTAATTATTCATTGTTATCTTAACACTCGAATCTCCAACATAATATTCATATAATATATTATGATTTATGATATATATATATATACAAAGTATATAGTTCCTCATTAATGTTATTGCTAGTTTAAAACTATAATACAGATAAGAGACTAGACTCTAGGTCTTATGTTGTTCTGAAAATCTTTATCGGGATTTCGATGTGTCCGAGAAATATAAATTGGCATTTTTATCATGAATTTGTATTGGTTTATTAATGTCTTATAGTTATAAATTAGAATATAAGTTCAAAGCCATCTGGAGATCTATTATAGTTATACAATATGATATAATACCGCTATTTACTTTTGTGGTGCATAAACTACAATTATTGGTATCTGCAATTTCTGTGTGATTTCAATATACGTATTTACAGAGAATTATTCCTGTTATGCTGTGTTCTCGGGAATCGTCCATTCTAACACCGGATATATCTATCCTAAATCATCACGTTTATTATGCTGCATATATTGTCATATCATATTATTGCTTTGTCGCCGATGACTTACTACAACACTTGTTCCGTACGATTCAATAATATTATGTATCTATATTTGCGTGTTACCTTTACCCGTACACACGGGTGGTAACGATATTATATCACTGTTCTTTATCCGGCCGTACTTACTGACAGTAAAAGCCCGTGTAAGATGTATATTACAAATTATTAATATATATATATATATAGCAATACAGCCACAAAGTATCGCGCTGTGTGCGGTCGGTCTCTGTTGTCGTGTGTATATTTATCTGCACCGCCACCGCCACATCGTCCGCAGTGTGGTCTGGTGTTGACCGGCGTTCAATCACTACTTAAAAGGGACACCTGTATTTCGCTACAATACAATATAATAGTATAACGATATTATTATTGTACACACACACACACATATATATATATATATATATATATATATACGTATCGATATCGATATCAATCCTTAGTCGTCGGCTGTTGCAGTCAGTCGTCGTTATTATCCATCGTTCGGATGTTTATCTTTGGACGCTTAACAATATAATAAAAATAATAATAATAATAATAATAATAAAATGAATTCTACATCTTTTGAAATATTGCGTAACGGAGTTGTTTTTATTTTCACGTGTTATTCTTCTTTTTACACAGCAACACAGACACACATACACGCGGGTCCGCTTTAAACACGCACACACGTCTGCAGCCACACGGCGACCCCAATTACTATTATCATTGCAACCCTGCGCTATACCGATCGTGTCGGTATATATCTTTTGTACAGGTATGCGATTACCTATATATTTTATTGTAAAAACATTTATTTATTGTTGACGTCGTCTTCGTTATCACCGTCATCCTTTTCGACCTACCGTATGGCTTCACGACGGCGGCCGCTGTATTATATAGTCTCGATGTCGAGAAACGGTTGCGATAAAAGCATGAAATTGCTGTC